TAGAAAGACCAGGTTCCGATGGTACAGATCCTGTTCCTCCCACTACTGTATCTCCACCCCTAGTGGATGTACTGGTTTCTCCTTCAGCATCTGTTCTTCTACGACCTGGGGTGTTACGAGATTGTAGGTCCTGTATAACATTTAGCCTAGTAGATCCAGGTCCTGATTGAACAGTTCCTGAACCTACCACTGCTAATATACCATCCCTGGCTCCACTTGGATCCTCTCTCCCCCTGTAAATGGGTGCAGATGCTGTGCTGTATGGAGACGATCTCTCTGTAGAAATTGTTCATACATAATCTAGATCAAAGCTTCTTACCATCAACTCTTGGTAAACATCACCGGTTTCACGTACCGGTACACATTCATCAGGGTTGTAGGACTGCTTTGGTTGCTCCTTGGATACTCGCTTGGCTCGTTTCTGGATCACATTTAACTTATCCTTCAAGTTTGCCAATTCCCCAACCAAAGAAAGTTCCCCCCTGGTTAATAAAACTTCCAATATTTTCTGCTCAATATTCCCAAAAAACGTATTATGTCTACTGTCAATAACATCTCCCGTTTGCAGAACAGAGCAAGCAATTTCTCCCAACTTAGATATCTCATTCTTAAGGCGGGTGAAATCCTCTCTTTGTTTTATCTCGATAGAATTTGAAAATCCCGTAGCATTAATTTGAGGAATTGACGCATATCTATCGGTGTTAAAATTATAGAACCTGTTAAATTGTACGGCTTCTGGCAAATTGTAACAAGAAGTAGACCTTCTTCTGGCTGCCCCCCCGCATGGCTCAGGATTAAATTTTGAGTACTAAAATTTCAGTTAATCTCTAAAACTAAAATCTCCCGTAAACTTCCAATTTGGCATTCACAGAAGATCAGGAATAAAATTGAAACTCAGTCTCAAACTTAAATAAATTATCCCCCTGTTGTAACCTCTCTGAATATTGATCAGGTAGGTAAAAAGGGATTAAAGGATTGAAATAGGATTAAATCTCAGGATTAAAGATTTATTTCACTCAATCATTCTGCGTATTTTTCCAATCTGGCAAATACAGCAAGAAGATGAGAAATAGCTCAATAAATTCAACTTAATCAGCACCCTGTTGTAGCCTCTTTGGATATTGATCAGTTAGGTACAAAGGGATTAAAGAATTGAAATAGGATTAAATCTCATGATTAAAGATTTATTTCACTCAATCATTCTGTGTATTTTTTTTAATCTGGCAAATACAGCAAGAAGATAAGAAAATAGCTCAATAAATTCAACTTAATCAGCGCCCTGTTGTAACCTTTCCAGATATAGATCAGGTGGGTACAAAGGGATTAAAGGATTGAATGATTAAATACCATTAAATCTCAATAAGTAAGATATATTTCACTCAATCATTCTAGGTATTTTTCCACATGGGCAAATATTCTAGAAGATGAGAAAATATCTCAATAAATAGATTCAAATTTAGTGCCCTTTTGTAACCCTTCCAGATATATATCCGGTTGATATAAAGGGATTAAGAATTAATAACACTAAATCTCAAGAACGTAGATTTATCTCACTCAGTCATTCTAAGTACTTTTCCATTTTGGCAAAAACATTAGAAGATGAGAAAATATTTTAATAACTAGGCTTCACTTACGACCCTTAACAACCTTATCAAATACAGATCTGAACGGTACAAAGGGTTTGAGTCAATTAATCCTCTCACATAAATATAATTCTCAAAGTAATAATTATTTCACTCTATCACCCGACATAAATTTCCATGTAGGCAAATACGAGGGGGGATGAGAAAATAAATCTATATAAACTGAATGGACTTGAAGTAAGTAATCTTCTCAGAATAAATATAGATCTCAGGATAAAGTTATTTCACTCACTCACCCGGCATAAAATTCCAGCTTGGCAAATACGACGGGGAGGAGAAAATAAGTTAGAAATTCAATTCAATTTAAGGGCTAAACAATCAGTTGGTGCCTTAAAAGGAATTGAGACTGAATGTTATGCAACTATGGCGATTTTCCTGAAGTCCTAAAGATAAATGGGTTACTACCGTGCCATATTTAGTTGGGCCTGACCCTAAGCTCCTCTACTCTTGCTCCTTCTCATAGTAAATCAAAGACAGGTTAGCTTCAAGTTTTATTAAGGCTCGATGCTTCAGTCTGCCAATAAATATATTTTTTAGACTACATAAAAGCTTTGAATAGTACAATACATCCATATTCATCCAATATATAAATCATCCTATCATACTATTCAGGCATTAAAAACTGTAATCGAAGCTAAAAGAACGTGAATTTATCATACAAAACACACAAAAAAGAGTTTATTAATCAAATAAACATATTTACCACAATAGTCCTCCGATACTAGCACCATAAAATAGCATAAAAGATATATATCTAACTACTTTCTATTACATATGCTGGTAAACTGATTCAACACATAAGTTTTAGCGCATGCTCAAAACAATAAACAATTTGTTGGTAAAAAACAGCTTCAGTTTCAGCTTCTTTCCCTCAGCAACAATCATCAGAATACAGGGATAAATAATGGTAGAACAGGGGCAATTCATAGAATTTGTACGCAGCGTGAGCTCGCGTAACAATATAAGATATTAAATACTGTTTGCAGTTCATTTTGTTTAAAAAATCTTTTGCTCAAATATATTTTACTTTGACACTAATTTTACTTTTATGACTTATATATAATATTTTTATTATTGTCTTTGGTATTAAACAACTTAACAAGTTATTGAAGAAGACATTCTAATCTATTTATCAACTGTCATGTTTCGTGGGACACCCTGTATTAGATTCTTGTACATCAAGTAAACTTCTCCCAAGGTCTCAAACCTTCTCCAGTACGCAAACTTTTAAATGGTAGAGTTCATCTCCAGAAAGGTTAAAATGTTCTCCTGTAGGCTGGTTTGTATGAAAGTTTCGCTAACTTGACGTAATTATTGCAAAATTTTGTGAAATTACTTATGTAAAAATTGCCTGAAACTACGGCATAATTTCGCCAATTACAAGTAACTATCACAAAGTTTTGCAAAATAACGCTCTAGAAATTGCACGAAATTACGTCGTAATTTCGCAAAATTAAAGTTTCGCCAATTAAGCGTAATCCTGCAAAATTACACAAAATGAAAATTGTTTCGAGTAACTGCATGTAATTTCGCGTAAGTGAATAATCTATTACACTGGAAACCCTACCCTGATCAGTTGATATATTATCTTAAATTTTCACAGATCATATGAACCTTTAAAACATAAAAAGTAATTTTATATCAGCTGTTTATAATTTGCATATGTGAAGAAGGGTAGAATTAAAATACAACTATTTTACAAAATTTTTAGGTCATTGTCATAAATTTTAATACATTGATGATGACATTCGATTTCAATTTTGATTTTTACCAACATGGAATCAGAGAGAAACTATTAAATAACTTGTTTGAAATCAAACTTAAATCGAAATGTGGTCTCCTGCAAAAAAGTGCTATAAAGATGCAGCAGTCTTCAAAAATAAAATGTACAGTGATAAGACATTTTTATGGCACTCCGATTAAACAAACATAATTTCTGTAAAAAATAATTTTGGTAATAATAAAAGAAAAGATAAATTGTACATCACAAGGCAATCCTTTTTAATTATTTTTAGTTTTTACACAAAAATTCAGCAATTTAAACCATAAAAATAGTTTTTCTGGGAGGAGATTAATTAGTTTTGAAAGGGAGAAATATTTTTCAAAAATTTCTAACTTAGGCTTTTTCATAGCTCATAGAAATCATAGTTTAAAATATTAAACTATACCATATAGGGATTATAATTTTGGAGTTTTTGACAAAATCTCATTTCCTTTGCTCCTCTGATACATGTATATATATATATATAACAAATATATGTGTTAAAGCAAGCAAAGCCTATGTATAAAAGATATACGGGTTCTTTAATACAGATAAAAAACTTATCAGTAATTTAGTAAAAATAGGGATTTTTAGGGGGCCTCGCACAAAATCTTTTCTGGGTGTGCACACAAAAAATGAAGGCATTCCCCCTACACTAAAGCTCTTGTACACCCCTGCTTGTACAAATAACAGAAGAAACGCCTCAACTAAATTAACTTTTAGAAGTTCTTTGGTAAACGGAAACGCTTAAAATAAAAAAGGAAACACCTCAAATAAATAAAGATTTTTAAAGATTTTTGAAAAACGGAAACACTTCAAAAAAAAAAGGAAACACCTCAACTAAATATAGTTTTAAAGCTTTTTGGAACACGGAAATGCCTCAAAATTATGCGGAAACGCCTCTAAAAGAAGAGGAAACAACTCAACTAAATAAAGTTTAAAAGGTTTTTTTTTGAAGTAAGATGAAATATTTCAACTGACACAAATTTTTCAGATTAAAACAAGCATGAGCAAAGTAAAAAAAAGTTTCAAATTGAATTTTGCATTGTATTTCTCAACAACTCCTTTTTGGAATATCCATCTTTAAGATATATAAAGGAAGGGACTTTTGTGTTATTGTGAACACATTAACATGGTTGAAAATTGTGTAGACTTAAAATATCACTTTGTGAATATTAATCATTAAAAGTTTACACCTTCAAGATATTTAATGTTAAAGATATAAACTAAAATGTTTAGTTTCTTAACATTTTGTAATCATTAATTAATGGGTTGTTATTTGTTTTTGAAAAGTTCAAAGTGAGGGGTCGTTTTTGAAAATCATCGTTTTTTCCGAAAAAGAAAAGATCATTTTTAAAAACTATTAAAAAACAAAACAAAAACCGATCAAAAACAAAACAAAAACGATAGTTTTTTGATTGTTTTCAAAGTGGATCAACAACCCTAGTTACTGTTTGGTTTGAAATGGATCACTTTTAACATTTTTAAGCCACTAAATGACAGTGTTAATTAACTTAAATGCACTTTTATTTAATCTTTAAATTTCGCTTAATGATAACAGAACTATACCTGCTAGCCATGTTTTTTTTCTTTAGAGTTGCTGGCCATATAGTCACAACAGCAAGTGGTGTTTTCATTGTTGGAGGCTGGGAATTGTCCACCATGGATAAACAAGTAATACACAATTTAGGGTTATATATTAGAATGATTTTCTGGCTTAAAGAAAGAGACCTGCTAGGTAACATATTTGAACCATGAGTGCAAAAGTACAAGCTAAGTAAGATCTTGATTTTGTTTATTATAAGCTTGAAAAAGAACTCAAAGTAAAAGGCCAAGATTGAGTGGAATAACAATATGTTTGCGCACAAAACTATTTACATGCTAATTATTCAAACTGATTCGATACTTTAAGATTACTGGCTTGATCTGGGGTACAACATGTCTACTTGTTACCGAGATCTTCAAGGTCTAACTTCTCAGATTTTAAAGGCCACTTAGGAAATACCTCTACCAGGATTAACTCCAAGGCACTAAATGACACACAGGCCAAATTCTCAACCAGGCTTAACTCCTGAGTTCTAAAGGACAGAAAGTCCAAATCTCATCCAGGCTTAACTCCTGAGTTCTAAAGGACACACAGTCCAAATCTCATCCAGGCTTAACTCCCGAGTTCTAAAGGACACACAGTCTAAATCTCAACCAGGCTTAACTCCCGAGTTCTAAAGGACACACAGTCCAAATCTAAACCAGGCTTAACTCCCTGATTCTAAAGGACACCCCAGTCCGATGAAATTGCTACACAGGCAATTTTGCAACTTGTATAATTCAAGGAGTACCAAATCTTTCTTTCAAGCTTACTTAAACTTCTGATAACTTAATCAAAAGCAGAGTCTCATTCAACTGATCTTTATTTTGTAGTTTCAATGAATGATATCATTTTGTCTAAGCTTAAAACATCTAATCATTTATGAGTTATGAAGTACTGCAAGTTTACTAAATATCGTGTTTACGCGCTTTTTGCTACATGATTCCTGTACTTGGAGATGCTTAATTGAGATCCTTCAGCCTGCTTTGCTGCAAGGAGGTATCCACTGTTGTCAGCGCCGCCTCTAGCCTAATCGGTTCTGCTTCGATGAATGGGATTGGGTTGTCCAGGGCTTGTTTACACATGGTAACTATATAAACGGTAGGTCAAATAATATATTGGATCTTAACAACACAACATTTGCCAGAGTGAATATATTTCTATCAGACTCTTCTGATTAGATACTTGATGATAACTGGCTTGATCTTGGGCACAAAATGGCCTATCAAACTCCTTTCTACCTCAGCTTAGAGTACTTTTAGAATCCCTTTCTACGGCATGGATTTGTGTCTAGCTCTGCCCTCTATAGCTGTACCAAGTGCAGCTAAACTTAATAAGGGTTCAATGTCCTTTGGGGCTTGGCTTGTTGGATTGTCAGGCTATAAAAATATCAAGGGTTTAACCCTTTGGTGCCTGGCTTGGGTTGGGTTGTGAGGCTACAAACATATCAAGGGTTTAACCCTTTGGCGCTTGGCTTAGGTTGGGTTGTCAGGCTACAAACATATCTCCCTTGGGAGCATTAAACTGTACTATACTATTTACAATTGTGAATCCTCATTGGTTTACATGTCAAAATTTTTACCAGATATGGTCCAAAAAAAGAAATGCTGATTCACAACTATTAAATAACTCCGATAAAGTACTAAAATTATTTTACAAACAATATTGCAAGTTGAAAAAAAAATTTACTCAATATCATGAACATATCTTATTATAATTAATTTTAAAATCTTGCAGGTTAATTTTAATTCTTTCCACTTTAAACGCTGTTGCACTTTTTCTTTGTTTTAATTACGAAGAAAACATTTGAAGAAATTTGCAAATGAATTTATATAAACAGCAAAGTTAAACATGATTATGAAAGATTGATTCTGCCAGGGCTTTTTTAGATAATTTCTAATGAGAAATATGTTCCTGACAGCATTAGTTCCTGGAATAAGTTTTTTATTATTAATTATAAATTTTGTCTGCAGGTTGTTAAATAATCGTAAAAAACAATCCTTTTGTAGACCATCTCTTCGGGTAAAGTTTTACAAAAGTTTACTCTCATAATGCAACATTATTCATCTTGAAAACATCTGATTGGTATATCAAGTAAATCTTAAAATGAGTCTCTATGAATACTGCACATTGGTTCAAATATGATACCTCTCAACTCTCAAATTAAGCAGACTCATGGGACTGTTATATTAAATTTTTATTTCAAAACATTAAATAGATGACGTTCCACTAATGCATTTTCAAGGTGGAAGAATTAGATACAACAACCCTGACTTGGAAATGGGTGATCCCTGCAGTAAAGGCTGGAAATGAGGGTGCTGTAGTCGCAGTTCCAGACGGAGTGGTGTGACAAGGATTGCTTTAATTTTAAATACCTTTTGACGACATCAGAGAGAACAATTTTGCTTTTAATTATATATATATATATGTATATATATATATATTGCTTTGTTTGTTTGTAAGTAATAGTATGTAAGTATCCAATAAAAATCACACTGCAAACCCGACCTGACTTAACATTTGTTTGGCAAATAAAGATCACATGACCTCAAAAAAGATTTATGGCTAGTTGAAATTGAAAATTTTTGCCTCATGATGTTAAAAGAAAAAATGTAGGCTTTATAATCGGTATAAATTATGTTTCCTGGGGAAAAAAAACACTATATAAAGCTAGAATTGTTACTAAAAAGAAAAGGGGACGCAACATGCCCCATACTGCGTTTACATGCTTGATTAAAAGTAACAAAACATGATTTTTCGTTAAGGTTTGATTGATGCAATTAGTATGTACATTAGTTAGTGCAATGATTTCTAAGGGAATTTAAAAAATGTCTAAACACACCCTGAAGAATTCAATCTAAAAATTTAATATTTGAACAAATATTTTTAATTTTCTAAACAATCTAATATGTGTGATAAGGATAGGGTGGAATTATTCCATTGGGCACATGACATATTAGTGTTTCGCAAAAATATAACTTTATTTGCGAAAAAAATTTTCCATAATAGTCATAAGACATGTTTTAGCAAAAAAATCAAAGCCTTAAGTGAACTGTATAATTGCCCAATTACTGCCTAAAAAAAGACTTTTTGAAGTAAAATCAATAAAAATGACATCAAAAAAAACTTTTTCGGGCCGTATATATTTTGACTTAGGGGTTTGATTTTTTTCTACAGTAAGTTTCATGACTGTTAAAGAAAAATAATAAAATTTGGAGACCATGTCATATACTGTTAAAAAAATATTGTCAAAAAATCCAGAAGAAGCAGATTAAAGTCTTGAAATGAAATTTTTGTTTAATTAAAGACCTGTGAATGCACTTGATTTCCACAATTTCTAAAAAAATAGATTTGCTCAAAATTCCCTAGGTGGCATTTTCTGAAATTTGAGAATATAACTCATTCTTCCTGCATATAAACATAATCCAAAGAAAAATTTGAGGCGTTTTTAATTGAAACCTGATGGTCCATATTCAGCAGTGTGCGCGCCCCGTACACCAACTACACTACTAGATTGAATTTATATCCTATTTATCCTCCTCTCCAGGGCGCGCAACTAAGGGGGGGGGGGCGCAAGGCCCCACCCCCTTAGCCTGGCTAAGGGGGGTCAATCCCCACCCTAAAGAAAGCTTGCCCCCCCCCCTGTAAGCAAACTCAAATTTAACAATAACATTTTTTGATATAAGCTCAGATTCTTTTTTTCCCTTTCTTTAAAAACTGACCTGAAATTTGGATTTCAAAAATTACACTCACACATTCTTNAACATATATCAGCAAACCATACACAAAATTGACCAAACTGAAAAAGACCTCCAAAATAAATTTTGCCTCAAACACAAATGATTCAAGATTTCCCCAAATTAAATAAGTTGCCCCAAAAATAAAATTTACCCCCGAAATATTAAGATTTTTCCCACAGAAATTTCCACCAAACTATCTTCCTTCTGTCCTCCATGTATCCATCATCTATCCTCCTTCAATCCTCCTTCTATCCTCCTTCTGTCCTCACTCTATCCTCCTTTTATCCTCCTTCTACCCTACTTCTATCCGTCTTATATCCTCCTTCTATCCTCCTTCTATCCTCCTTTTTTCCTCCTTCTATCCTCCTTCTATCCTCCTTCTATCCTTGGAGTCCAAGAACTGTAAATGTATTTTCCATATATGTAGAATGACATTCATAGTTATTTTTTAAATAAACCTCCTATTTTACACAGGCACATTTTGATGTATTGAGCATGCTCATTTCAGAGTGGATACTAAAAGCCCAAGAACAAAATGTCCAATAACAAAACACCCAAAACATAACACCTAAAAACAAAACACCCAAGATTTCAAAATGTCCAAAGTTACAAAATGTCCAAAGCAACAAAAAGCCCAAATAACAAAATTTCCAAACTTACAAAACGTCCAAACTTACAAAATTTCCAAAGTTACAATATATTCAAAGTTACAAAATATCCAAAGTTACAAAATGTCCAAAGATAAAAAATGTCCAAAGTTACAATATATCCAAAGTTACAAAATGTCCAAATTACAAAATGTCCCAAAATCCAAAATTACAAAAAGTTCAAAATATTAAAAATGTCAAAATAATAAAATGTTTAATTACAACTTGAAAACTAGTATTTTTATTTTTAAACATAAAAAATCAAAAATCCCTACTTACTAAGATACCAAGATACAAGATACTTAGTATGCAAGTTACTAAGATACAAAATGTTATTTACTACATTTATTAATCAATACAAGACATTTTTAAACAATGACAACATACAATACAAGACAACATTTTGTAACTTAGTAGTTAGTTTGTTAGTAAGGATTTTTAACCCCCATACAGATACAGGCAGCTATGAAAAGTTGCATCAATGTTCAAGACCTTGTCAATAATGTTGTAGACCAGGTCAAATGAACATGACAATAGTTCAAAAGAACCAAAAAGTTGTAACTTTGGATATTTATTAAACTTGGACATTTTGTAATTTTGGGCATTTTGTAATTTTGGACATTTTGTAACTTTTGACATTTTGTAAATTTGGGCTTTTTGTTATCTTGGGTGTTTTGTTATTTGGGTGTTTTGTTTTTGGACGATTTGTAACATTGGACGTTTTGTTTTTGGGTGATGTGTAATTTTGGGTGTTTTGTTATTGGACATTTTGTTTTTGGGCGTTTTGTATCCACTCCAAAGGAAGCAGTTTATGAAACTGAGCCCACGTTTAAGGAACAATTGTACTTGGTGGAGACTGATATCTCAAAATATGATGTTCACTGGATTCCTTATTTTCTGCTCTGCACCCCTGTCATATAAAGTTTACATTACATATATTGCCAAAACTGACTCTATTGATGAGGATAGCAAAGACATAATTAAGGAGCTGATACAGCATGGTATTATTAAAGAGGAGCCGCCTGTTCTTCATTCTCACGCATTTAGAAATGGAACTTCATCATCTTATTCTGAAAAATATTAGTCAGCCATCCCACTTCATATGGCTAAAGCCTTACATGAGAAATTTCACATAGATTTTATGTTTGGTTATACCATTAAGAACCTTATTGGACGTACTCTAAACACAATTTACACTGAAGTTAGTTTATTAAATTGAAACATGTATTCATACATTAAGTTCTTTTTTTTTGTCAATTTAGAAAATAAAGTGATATTTGTAATTAAATTCAAATAATTGTTACAAAAATACATTTTCCCTTTTTTATTTTTAACATCTTGCACTTAGTGAGTTGTTACTAGAACCTGAATCATTTCTACATTTTTTGAAGAAAAAAGAAAACACTTTTATCCTTTTTATCACATCTAGGGTTTCCAACGAAAAAAAAATATTTACCGAAAATTTCGGACTTTTTCGCATTTCGTTCGGTGGAAACCCTATAATAACATCCCTGGTTGCAAAATGTTTTTCCACAAAGCTAATCTTAACAAAAAGTCTGTGAATAGAGCCGAGAGGAGAAGAACCATAATCTTAGAACTATAAAAAGTATGAAATATAAACTCACGTATTCTCTGATATTATTATTATTATTAACAAAAAGTCTGTGGTCCCAAAACGCTTTCTGCCACAATATAGGTTTCCTAGCTCAAGTTGAAGATATCGTCAAGAAAAAAGCGCAATTTTTTGTGGAAGCATTGTTTCATGTTTTCAGGATAATCCTTACACATGCTGTGTATGCTGGGTAAGCGTTTTTAAGATGAATATCTTAAATCAAACAAATTGTTGGGTACTTGATACGAAAAGAAATTACCATTTTGATTTACTTGAGACAGAAATAGAAGAAAATGAAAAAAATAAAAAGCAAGGAACGAAAAATTAAAGAAAAAAGGAAGGAAAAAAAGGGAGAAAATTTGCATAGAATCTAATTTTTGTCATCATTTTTGTGTAGAGAATTATTTTTTCTTCAAATTAAAGAATAATTGAGTGTTTTTTGAGATGAATTACTTGTCAATTTGTATTTCTATCCTGTCTTGTGAAATGTATTATTTTGTTTTATTTTAAGAAGCTTATCCTTTCCCTTCTTTAATTAGATTAATGATTCTAATAAACAATTTAAATTTGGCTTGTCTGTTTTGGTGTTTGTCTGTTTGTTTGTTTGTTTGTATCCAATAAACGTCAAAACGGCTGAACCGATCGGGCCCAAACTTTTTGTGGGACATCTAGGGACCCCAGGGAAGGTTTATGAAAAATCAAAATTTCAAATATTTGTCCCTATCAAAAATCGATCGTCATTAAATTTTTAAAAATTTTGAAAATCCACGAAATTTTTTGTGAAAATCCGCGAAGTATTTTTGTTTTGTTTTACGATGTACACAAAGAGAACATGTTCACAACTAATTTAGACGATGGGCGCGAAGCGCCCTCTAAGGCGAAATTTTTTGTGAAAATTATTTTTGTTTTGTTTTACGATGTACACAAAGAGAACATGTTCACAATTAATTTAGGAGATGGGCGCGAAGCTCCCTCTAAGGCTAGAAAGAAGGGCGCGAAGCGCCTTGAATTTCTAGTTTATTTATAGTTTAACTCAAATCTCTACATCTTATACCTTCAGTTTTTTTATTTTGATGCAAAGACGAGGTTTGTACAAAAAGTTTTTTGATTTTTTAATTCCTTACACATAATATTGGTAACAAAAATTAGATTTTATGCCTATATTCTCCCCTTTTTTCTTCTTTCTTTGGTTTTTTTGTTTCCTTTTTCCTTCTTGTTCTTTTTTGTCTCAGATAGTGTGCCCCCCCTTGCTTTATTCTATTTAATATCAATATAAATTTTGTTGATGCTGACAAAGTAAAAACCAAGATTTTATTCCTGAAAAAGACGACATTTGAAATCAGCATTGCTGAACTGAGTCCGCTAAATCTTCTCCGACTGTGAATGCAGGGCGGAACTCCGCTAAACAAAACATCTGCGCGTCGTCGCGCAAGATTGAAAAATCTAAACCATCTTCAGTCAACTTCCGTCTACCCAACGCCTACCATGGTTACAACTTTGAGAATGAAATTCTGGAAAAAATGAGTGATTTAAAAAAAAGTGAAACAGTATCTCTCAACAATCTCTGTATCTGACTTACTAGTTCCCAGCATTTGTCAATTTGTCCTCATTTGTCCTCATTTGTCCTGATCCGTTAAGTTAGATTATAATAATCAATATTCGAACTTTTAATCGGGTTTTTTACAGGGAGAGCAAACGTGCCGTTTTATTTCATAAACTGGGCAACTTTTTGGGCGAATATGTTTAAAGTGACGCTAGGATTAGGAAAGAGAATGCTCGTATTCAATCATAAAGAGTAAAATCAAATTTTGACGGTGGGGTGCGAAGCGCTATCAAAGCAATTTTAGAACAACTTTTCTCCTGTACAAAAATGTAAAATAAAAAGNAAATTTTAATGAACGTCTTAATTTTAACAAAATACGGTTTTATGAAAAGTTGTTTTATCAACGAACCAAATCTATTTCTATCTACTTCTAGAGGACTGTAAGAGGAATGCTTCAAATAATGGATTTCTCAACCGATAAAGGTAAAATCATATTGTTAACTTTGCTTAGGATCCGGAGTTGACATTGGTTTTAAAAGATCCGTACAATTAAAACACTGAATTCAAAAATGTTAAAATCGTAAAAATTCGTTAATATTTCAACAAATAATATACATTTTACTGATTTTTGAGTCCCAAAAAAATTAGTCTTTTGGCCATGGATAACATAAATTTTAAAAATATTGAAATAAAACATAAAATGTCGGCAATGTTGCTTGTACATGTATACTTACTACAAACTGTTTTAAAATTACATAAAAAAAGATCTTTCAAGAAAACCATTTTTTTCCTCATAGGAGAACCAGAGGAATCGGAGATATCGTCTTTATCTAAATCTGAGGAAGATGTTTATTCATTAAGGGAAATAATTAGACATTAAAATTTATTTTGTTTCTGTCGTAATAAGTAAAATTGGAAAAGTTGCCAGAGATTAAAATATTTTAGGAAATATATTTTACTAGCTTGAGAAACTTTTTCCAAATAAAAATCAACCCACTCAACTTTAAACTTTTAAGCCATATGTTGAGAACATTTTTCGATCAAAATTGGAGGCAAATCGGTCAATGGGTTCATGAGTTATAATATGACATACAATCAATCTTTAACTACTTAATATGAAAAACACCATTAAAAATCTTTATTTGTTATGGCTCTATTTTGTTGATTAAAGGAGTTGGATGAAGAAAAGAGAAAATCTGTTCAGGTGATTACATTTTTTTGATTTTATGACACAAATGGCCATATGTCAATATTATGTTTGGTGCAGATTATAATACTTCTTTAATCTTAATTTTGTATATCTATATATCCTGGTGTTTTTTAAACTTAAATAAAGGCTGGCTACAGACAAGAAGCCATTTTGCAATTGTATAATAATTTTTCAGCCATCTGCAATGTTTTTAATTTTTACGTCTGTGATATATACAAATGTTCTTTTTATATTCAATCAGTTTTTTAGTGTAAAAATATTTTTTATGATTTCAGAAAATGATTTTTTACATTCACATTCTTATCAATGCATATTCTAATCTTTTTTAATTCTGAAAATTAGAAATTAAAATTGATTCTTTTTTGACATTTTGTTCCTAGGTTGCGAGGAGAAAGGGTTGAGCGTGTTTGTGAAAAGTTTAATGTATCATTAATCACATCTTCCAGTTCTATTACAGACTATATTAACAAACAAACTAAAATGGATAAAGGTGAAATAAACTTTTCTTTTGAACTTTTTCTTTTATTTTTAAAATGCTTCAGAAAATATATGATTTATCAATATAAAATATAAAATATATTATTTATCACATACAAAATATAAAATATAAAGTATAAAATATAAAATATAAAATATAATTATAAAATATAAAATATAAAATATAAAATATATTCTGACAATATAATCATGTAATTTAAGCTTTGCAATCTTTATCCTTAATATTTTCAACTTTAAATTTGTCAAGATCAAATACTCAAAGATTTAAACCTTAGAAGAGATAAGAAAAATCTTAATATATATATATATATGTATAAATGTAACTAGCTAAAGGGCCCGGCGTTGCCCGAGAAAAAAAAGTTGAAAAAAAAACATTTAAATTTTTCTTTTGCCTATGTTACCCTGCAGGCTACCCATGAGTGTCAAAAAAATGTCAGCCAATTTTGTCCAGCTGTTTGACCGACTAGAGGGAACATATATACGAATTTCTTGTTTTATTATATAGATAACGTTAGATTCGAAATAAAGAGGGAAAATTTAAATGATAACTCAAAAATAATGCTTTTTTAATTGCAAAAATTTTGCAAATGCAGTGTCCGAATCTAATGAATTTGAGCCGCGTCTTAAATCCACCAAAACCTGGTTTCAACTGAGCGCCGGCGTAAATCTTGAAACATTGAATATAATTTTAAATGGAACCAACCATGTTTGAGCCGCGTCTCAAATTTAAGCCGCGGCTTAACCTCTTTAAATTCGGCCTCAGAATGATTAATATTTTTTTCAGTTCATTTTGTTGAAAGAATATCCCTAGATCAGTTCTCATTATCCCGCCCACACAGAACAATGGGCTGCCTCATCAATAAGGAATTTTTTTTAATAATTTTTTTTAAAACTTTGATATAGTTCTCGTTGAAGAGAATGTAGGTATGAACCTTCCTTTATAGATTGGCATGTCCTCTACGCAACCTCATCAATGATGAATGTAATTTAATATTTTTTTTTTTTTGCTAAACATTGATTTTTTTAACGGTTTCTTTATCAATGTTATTTTGTTATACAGTTCATTTACTGTAGATTTTGACCTTTAAATATCGCTCATTTCTACTTTCAAATACATACTTCTATGTTATTAGTTGTCTAGAGCGCTTCGTTCCTCCTTTTTAACCAACAAATTCGGTATTTAAATGTTTCTTTTCAAGGCCGGTGCCATTAATCTTCGTTATTGTAAATTTAATTTTTCGTGGATTTTCAATTTAAATTGGCGCTAAAAATAATAGATGTCGACATTTTTTCTGAATATTTTTTTCCCTTAGTTGCCACGAAAAATTTGGGCTCGATCGGTTCAGCTGGTTTGACGTTTATTGGACACAAACATATGGATAAGCAAGCTTAAAAATCAGATTAAAAAATAAATAATTTGCTTAAGGTTGCATCAACCTCTTTCAACAAGGCACTACTTTTTCTGGGTAAGTGTTTAATCTTAACATTAAGTCATTCAAATTGCTAAACATCTAATATATTAGAAATTTGATTTATCATTTAATTGTTTTTTAATTTTAAAACAAGCTGTGGTATTACTTGAATTTGTGAAAAAAGGTTTTACAATCATTAACTATAAGATTTTAGAGGTTTAAACAATTGAAGAGAATAAAAAAGCTAAAGCTTTTCTTTTTATGAAATCAAACAACCTGAACGCTTTTTAGACTTTACCAAAACTATTTGTAACTGTCATTTTGTTTCACTGGTTTGGTTTGGTTTTAGTTTATTGCTTTCCATAAATCATACTCTTGTTTAGTATTAGTTTGAGGAAGAGAACCTTAAATCAATTTTGGATTGAGAGAGGGAGGGGCTTAGCATTTTCACCACCCCCCCCCCTTCTCCATTTCCTCGGAAAATGCCCCGATTGCTTCTCTGTCCTGGTGGTGACTCTTCCTTGCGTGAACTCTTCCTTGTTAAAAGCAATCACGACGCAGCCATATATTTGAAATATACAATATAAGGTTTTGCTTGTAAACCATTCAAATAATTGGAGTATAGTTAAATACATTCGAACGTTGAAGAAAAGTGTATACACTATACACTGTACACGAACATATTTTAGATTTATTGCTCATCCCTATTTGGTATTTAAACCAAGACGTGATGCTTGCGTTAAACTAACATTTTAGGATTTCTACTTCCTCTAAGTATAGAAAAATTGACTTGGATTCGCATATTACCTATGTATCCATCCAAAAACTAAAAAATAAAATTCCTATTTTTTAACCTAAATCTTAATATTTTCTTTTGTTTCGAATTTTCAATTTTATTCAAAACGAGAATTTCTAGTGTAAAACCCTATGTGGTATTTGATATATGCTTCCCCCCCCCCCCCCCCTCCCCCAGTGTTTACAAGGAAAGCTTTTCTTTCACCACAATACAACTTCCAAATTGCATATTCATGCTTTTAAACCATTTCTCAGGGGAGGGGGTGGGGGTTTATTTCATGCCCCCCCTTCAGCATTTTAGGGTTAAGTTGGTAAAAAAATGCGATGTTTTTTTCCAGATGGATTTCCTGTCCGGAACATCACCAGTCCTCATGCATTCAAGAGCAAACTCAATCCAAAGGTAGAAAAACATGTCTCCTATCGGTATGTTCAACTTATCGAAAAAAATTGATTAGAGTTTCGAAAACTATGATAGAATTTAATTTACAAAAATGGCGGTTGTTTACAGTCGTTAACAGTCACTAACTATTGTTAAAATCTAAAAACTATTTTTTTTTTCAACAATCTTTTTCATTTTTCTACGTCTTTAACAACTCGAAAACGAACCATCTCTACCTCTATGTAGAGATTGCAATGCCCGAGAAACCACAATTGAAAATAAACAATTTTAAAAATTAAAAACATGAATATAGGGCATCATGTAAGGCCACTTAAAATAACGCTTACAGTCCCTTTAAGGCTGTAAAGTTTCGCCCTCCTATCTCTTAAAATAATATAAAATATTTTCAACATATTCTTTTTCAGAATGAAGAAGAATTGAAATTTGCTGAGAAACATTTCACAAAGTTTATGATTGTCAGGTTCATAATTTATTGAAACATTTTGGTAGAAATATTTTTAAACTGCCATTTTTATATTATCGTCATATTTATTTTGATTTTTTGTTGCAGAGAGCCCATGGAAAGATTGGCATCCTGCTATCTCGATAAGGTAAAAAATTATAATAAAAACCGAATTTTAGATTTTTTAAACTTTTTATTATAATTGTAAACTTGCAGGCTGTTACTAATACACATTGGAGTTTAGGAGCTTTCAGAAAAGGGGTAAAAAACTTATTTATTTATTTATTGATTTTCTTTTATTAAATCCATAATCGATTATTCTTTAATAAAAAACTATACGTTTCGTCAGACCGATTTTATCATGTAATATTCAAGATCTTATAATGAAATATCCTAGATCTTATAATGAAATATCNTTTTGTCTAATTTAAAGGGAGTGTTAATGAAATAACAAATGTTTTGTTTTGTCTAATTTAAAGGGAGTGTTAATGAAATAACAAATGTTTTGTTTTGTCTAATTTAAAGGGAGTGTTAATGAAATAACAAATGTTTTGTTTTGTCTAATTTAAAGGGAGTGTTAATGAAATAACAAATGTTTTGTTTTGTCTAATTTAAAGGGAGTGTTAATGAAATAACAAATGTTTTGTTTTGTCTAATTTAAAGGGAGTGTTAATGAAATAACAAATGTTTTGTTTTGTCTAATTTAAAGGGAGTGTTAATGAAATAACAAATGTTTTGTTTTGTCTAATTTAAAGGGAGTGTTAATGAAATAACAAATGTTTTGTTTTGTCTAATTTAAAGGGAGTGTTAATGAAATAACAAATGTTTTGTTTTGTCTAATTTAAAGGGAGTGTTAATGAAATAACAAATGTTTTGTTTTGTCTAATTTAAAGGGAGTGTTAATGAAATAACAAATGTTTTGTTTTGTCTAATTTAAAGGGAGTGTTAATGAAATAACAAATGTTTTGTTTTGTCTAATTTAAAGGGAGTGTTAATGAAATAACAAATGTTTTGTTTTGTCTAATTTAAAGGGAGTGTTAATGAAATAACAAATGTTTTGTTTTGTCTAATTTAAAGGGAGTGTTAATGAAATAACAAATGTTTTGTTTTGTCTAATTTAAAGGGAGTGTTAATGAAATAACAAATGTTTTGTTTTGTCTAATTTAAAGGGAGTGTTAATGAAATAACAAATGTTTTGTTTTGTCTAATTTAAAGGGAGTGTTAATGAAATAATTAATGTTTTGTTTTGTCTAATTTAAAGGGAGTGTTAATGAAATAACAAATGTTTTGTTTTTTTTAATTTAAAGGGAGAGTTAAAGAAATGAAAAATGTTTTGTTTTGTGTAATTTAAAGGGAGTGGTAATGAAATAACAAATGTTTTGTTTTGTTTAATTTAAAGGAATTTTAAATGAAATTTAAGATGTTTTCCTTAGTAAAAATAATTTAAAGTCAATAAAATTATGAATGACTTATATCACTGTTATTTTAGCTGGAAAAGTCAGCGTACCAAAAAGACTGAAGATTCAACCTAAACCTGAAGATATCCCAACTTTTACTCAGTTCCTTCAATACATCCTTTCTACTGATCTTCTAGGTAAATAATATCATCTTTGCGTGTTTTCCTTGCTTAACCTTATTTATCTCTTTTTCCTTTCTTTTCTATTCTTATCTTATTTTTTCCCTTCTTTTCTATTCTTATTTTATCTTTTCCTTTCTTTGCTATTCTGATCTAATCTTTTCCTTTCTTATCTGTCGTTATCTCATCTTTTCCTTTCTTTTCTATCTTTATCTAATCTTTTCCTTTATTTTCTATTCTTATCTAATCTTTTCCTTTCTTTTCTATTCTTTCTTTTTCTTTTTAAAGGGAAAGACATTCAAGGGAAGACAGAACATGGATGGAATAAAGAAATAAAATGTTTAAAAATGAAAGGGGAGGGAAGAAAGAGGGCAAAGAAAAAGGAAACTAAAAAAAGAAAAGAAGAATGAATTATGGTAAAAATAAGAAGGGAATAAAAGGAGAAGAAGATTAGGAAAAAAAACTTGGAAAAGAGAAGAAAAAAATCAAGAAAAGAAAAGATAAATAAAGACAAAAACCGTGGAGTATCAAGTGGGTACACATGGGGGGGGGGCAAGGGGGGCAGTGCCCACACCTTCCCTATAGACTTGCCACACTTTTAAAACTGAAAAGTGAAGAACATAAAAAAATAAGTTTGCTGTTTTTTTCTGCTAGTTTTGTTTGAAGGAGAGATAAAAGTAGTACTTGTAAGGTAAATGGACCTTTACAGTATGCAAGAAGCCAAATGTTTTGAATTTACAGTTAAAATTTTGCCCCCCCCCCCCCGGAGCTCCTNAAGGAAGGTTCTAAAACAGCTCCATAGCTCCATGTGGTGCGCCCCTGGAAGTGCTGTGATCTATAATCTGTATTCTGCAATCCATCCTATCTCACACTTTAATCTAATTCTCATCAATATCTTCATCCAATCTATTCACTATATCAACCTATTCATCAGTCTATTCACTATATCAATATATTCATCAATCTATTCACTATATCAACCTATTCATCAGTCTATTCACTATATCAACCTATTCATCAGTCTATTCACTATATCAATATATTCATCAATCTATTCACTATATCAATCTATTCATCAATTAGTTCTTCCATTCTTCTTCCTTTTCCCAATCCTAACATTTTCTTCCTTTTCCCCATCCTAACATTTTCTTCCTTTTCCCAATCCAAACATCTTCTTCCTTTTCCCAATCCTAACATTTTCTTTCTTTTCCCAATCCTAACATTTTCTTCCTTTTCCCAATCCTAACATTTTCTTCCTTTTCCCAATCCTAACATTTTCTTTCTTTTCCCAATCCTAACATTTTCTTCCTTTTCCCAATCCTAACATTTTCTTCCTTTTCCCAATCCAAACATTTTCTTCCTTTTTCCTATCCTCACATCTTCTACCTTTTCCTCATCCTCATATCTTTATTCTTTTCCCCATCCTAACATCTTCCTTCATTTTCCCCATCCTCACATCTTCCTTCATTTTCTCCCAAACTCACAATTTTCCTGCTGCCCCATTTGCCCTTAATCATTTGAAGTTATTGTCAATTTTGTTTCCATTTTATTTTCAGAAATTCCCCCTCCCCCCCCCTCCCTTGGCATCACCACCACCACCACCTCGGGGGGTCAGAGCATTAATTTTGGTTTTGGTTGAGTAG